GAACTTTTAAGACAAATTTCCAAACCCCTTGGGGGGGGGGGAAGGAATGTCTGAAAATACAAATTGTAATTGGTTAGTCTGCTGTGGCCATTTTTCTGTCCTATTTTCAAAGTGAACAAAGTGTTTTCTGAAACAATATTGTCATGCAACATGTCAGTAGCATACCCATTCCATTCTTTATGACGCAATTTCTGTGTAGCATTGCCTCTTGTGCTCCTGTTAAAGTAGTTTGAGATCTTAGCAAGAATCCTGGCAACAGCGGCCACCTTCAAAGCATGTTGTGACGCCAGGTTTAATACATGGCAAAACATCATACATGCTGGTAGCTAGTTAGGTCCGTTGCTCGTCATGTTAATAGCATTATCGATCACGACGAGAGGCTGTTTCGTGTCAATCTTGCACTCCTCCATTGCTCTCTGAAGTACTTCGGCAATGTGCACGCCGGTGTGGGTTTCATGCATTTTACAGGTTTGAAGCATTTATGATTTGAGTTCCCAATCACTGATGAAATGTGCAGTGATGGGAATAAAAGACAACGTGAAACTTGATGTCACTACATCGCAGGTAAGACCTACTCCTTGAGCGCATTCATGACTTAAGCCCTGGTTACCTCGTACAAAGTTGGAATTGTTTTCTTGGTGAAATGTTTTCGACTGGATAATTCCTACGTGACTCCAGACTGCGCATCATGTATCCATGTAAGCAACGCTCGTCTGGCCAGCAGGCAAGCAAACGGATGTTTGTTTTTGGCTTGCTACTAGCTCTGGGTGATGCCGCTGCTAGTGTCTGTAACATATTTGTCTAGTTTTTAGTGTACTTTACTATCACAAGACAAATCTTGCATATCGCAGTCCTTCTCCAGTATAGTTCCATTTGTATTACCTTAATTCCGAAATGTAGCCACAATTTTAACTTTTATGATGCCGGCACATCTTTTAATTCCGGTCTTTCGCTTGCTTTGGCCATATTGTCTCGCATTGTTTGTCTTCTTCGCCTGGTCACTTCCATCCACTTCCCTGCTGCTCCTGTGAGGCTCGCCGCCAGCAGACCACCAAGTAAGTGCTAAATAAGCAATGCACAATGAAGGAGCCTTTATAGAGGCTGTTTATAAATGTAAACTATCGGTACTTAACGGAGGTGTATCTCTATTTGATCGTGGAACAAAATACTGTCTTGTGATTTATCACAATATCGAGATACTGTTGCACTTCTACTAGTCCATGCATCGACTTTGCTACTGCGCAATGACTGCTCGAGCTTGAAGTCTACTAATTGCCAATCACATGTTTTGCCATTAACAACACAAATGCCTCGCAGAAAGCAACATGTGAGAAGGTTGGTGCGTCTACGCCAATGACTGTAACAAAAGATGGACGGATGAATGATTCTGTCTCTGGATGTGCTTAACTCCTGTTTCAAGCCAGTGTTGCATCGAATAACTGTTCCATTTCAGAATTGGTTATTGATGCCACCCCACACTGTTACAAATAAATAAATATGGACTGAATTGATTAAAAATTGTCCATGTCAAATGTTTAATGTAGCATGATTTGCGACAGCTGCCTTTGCGGTCGGTATCTTTCATTCAGGTGGGCAATTCCAATTTCTAAACGGGGCCTTGTGAAAAACTGGAGTGGTTGTCGAGGGCCACATCAGTACGCTAACCTCAACTGTGTCCCATACTAAATTCATGTATTTAATATAGGACATTGAATTGTTTGAATAAGCTGCTTAAAATCATACATTAACATCATATCACTGTTAAATCAAGACTCATTAAAAAGACATGAATATCTGGTGCATCAATGTTTCATATTTTTAAAGTGTGGGCATTTTGTGCACCAACCACAAAGTCATATTAGTCTTTCCTTGTTAGGACTCCTCAATCATTACGTAAATATCACCCCTCCCCCTCCCTCCATGTTGCAGGAAATAAGAATGTTGCTAACCTGAGGACCACTATTGGCATTCTCGCTAGACAGGTTTCTAAGGAAACAGCCGTTAAAGGAGTCGTGATATGTCAATAAATACACCAACAATGTTGATTGACCACACTCAGGACCCAAGCAGTTGCTTTTCCTCAATTGAACCCACCACATACGCACCTGCACATCAAAATTAAAGCACCGCACCGAAATAAAAGCACAGCATATTCTAGGTTTTATTTGGAGTTTCTAAAGACTGCAAGGTTCAGTCAGAGACCGAGGACGGGCTGGATGTGGCCAGTAGGCCGTACCTTGCCCAAGTGTGCTTGAATCCAACAGGTAAGCTTTAAATCGGAGAACAACGCAAGATCTGGAAAGAGCCTACATTAAATAACTTCATTTGAAAACGGCAGATCTTACCTGTCTCTATAGCTTCAGCTTCATTGGTCTTCCACTTTTCCGCCACATCATTTGCTAAGGGATCATCAGGGTTTGGTGCACTTAATAATGCCTGGATTGACAGCAGCACCGTGCGAATCTGCAGAGCTGGTGACCATTTATCTGAAAAAAGAAATGAATAAACAGAAGACAGGAGACTAAGACAATGAAAATGGACATGCGGGAAGGCGGACGAACAATATGGCACAAGTTACTATAAGAGGCAGCAACAGGTGGATGGTGTATGAGGTAACACTATGGGGGCAGCTGTCAAAGTATACACCCCAGTCAAAGTCCAGTTCAAAAGGCCTTTTGGCAGATTCAATTGACAACTTTCTCAATTCATCTGCAGATAAACTGTAACAGAACAAATTGTAAACGAAGCCTTGTTCCAAAATCCAACATATTTGTGAGAGACTTGAGTTTCTGTCACTTCTGGTAAGAAGAGAGTAATATACACAAACTGCTAGCTGTCGATATGAAAATTATTTGTGACTTACCTTTCAGAATGTCTAGACATATTCTTCCCAGCTTGTCTACATTGGGATGATATATTTTAGTCATGAAGCGGACTTTAGGTGCTGCCATCGGATATTCCTCTGGTAAAAAGAGTTCTAGTTTAAATGTACCCCCCTCAAAAGGTGAGTCCTGCGGTCCAGAAATGACCACGTGAAAGTAGCGAGCGTTGCTCTCATCTGGCTCTGCCTGGATACCTGGAACAGGCTCTGCAAACAAGCGCTGAGTTTCCTGGTAAATTCAAACAAAAAAAAGCACAATTATGAATACAAAACGGTCACAGACAACACTCCTTCATTTTTAGCATCACAACTTTAGCAGTCAAGCACGCTGATTGAAAGTGGAGAGCTCATCAGTAAGGCTGTCGCTTTGTCACGAGGATGATAGAATAAGCAGTAGAAGGCTAAACTCCACCAAGGCTGAGCACTGATGCTGGGTCCAGGGAGTGGTTCCTTCGCAGCTAATTTATCAGTCAAGTAGCGTATTAAATCAACTGGAGAGACAAACTGATAAATACATGGCCAATAGCGCAGACGTCTGTAAATTCCATCTTTCCCCCAAAAATCTGAGCCTGTTGTCGAGCCGATTGTAAATTTGAGCAGCAGCAGCCAACTCTAGCCCACAAAAATCCCAACATGAACCTTTAGCTTCAATCTTAAACCGCCTACAAACTAGCAAAAGCATGTTTTTTTTTTCTGGGTTCTTGAAATGCTCCATAAGAGACAATGTTGCCAAACCAATCCCTAACTGTAGTATGTATGTATGCTAGGTCAGGAGGTGTGTGTGGCACTACTTCCATGCGCACCAACTGCTTGTCCTCCACTAAACAGTCCCTTGAATGCACATGGCACAACATGGAGCAAAGAATCACTTTGAAATACTTGGTTAAGTTGGCAAAGGGCTAAAATACTTAGGTATTGACTTTCTAGTACATTTATAGCTATTTTATCGATATGATGAGACAACAGTTATTTGTGAACTACAAGGCGCACACAGGCAAATGATTTGAGTTTTTATTGATCTGCTCTTCCTCATCTGCTCATGACAATTGCAAACGGGTCAAACAGGTCAATAGAGGACGCCATTTCCTTCGTTCTCCACCCAGCTCTCATCCACTGAGGCTCAAAGAACTCCTCCAGTAAACGTAAATGTGGTTTCAAGACTTCAGTTTAGAATTCATTCCCCAGCAGCTCATGCAAAAACACGACATTTGGGACACATACTGTAGACATACACACTTTATTTTATTTGTAAGCATCACTGGGTCTCTTCAAAGGTGCGTCTTCAAAGGTGCGGTATGAATCTAAGTTATTACTATTATAATTTGCACTACCTATCCACCTTTTTTGTTGTTGTTTTTTTACATCTGTACGCATGCAGGTTTTGTAGAGGTGAGAGGAACAGTCTTCCAATCATCTGTAATCTCTGTACATTTGGCAAATTGATAATGAAAATCTTTGAATCTTCAATTTCTCTTGAATCTGAGACACATGGACACTTGAACTCAATTATCATGACCGAAAGGGAGCGTATTATCAACACTTCACTTTTAACTGTTTGTACGAATAGGTGGGTCTCTTGAGTGCCCAACCATTAAGTGTGGAATTAAACAACCAAGTAAATATTTTAGGCCTACTTCACACCAAACAATGCAGCCATACACGACTGAATTGGACCATCATGAAAAAATATTACAGATGGCAATTCACATCCGCACACAAAGGGAATGAGTATGACATGCTGCAGTGGAAAAACTGCCACCCTGTATTGGTTTTGAGCCTCCACATAGAGTAATACCGTCCTGTATCGAAGGTCGGTCCTCAGAAAACATGGTCCGCCGACGGCTGCGAATGGTGACCCAGTTCCCGAATGAATATCTTTTCCCTTTAATAATCAATTACCGGTACCAGCTTTGACTGTTTACATCACACCACATACAGTAAACCGCAGAGTTAATTAAAATAAACAAACGTAATGAGATTTGTGATGTTTGTGTGCGACTGTATTTTGAGCAATGTAATATGCTGGCGCGACAACTTTCGTTTTGTGGCATGCAGCGTAAACATGTAAAATCTCTTTAGTTTATTCGGTGACAACCATTTGGTTTAGACGTCGAGCGAGGTGTCCAGTTTCAACGGTAACGACCAGACAATAAAATTGATAGTGATTTTTAGTGTATTCTTGCAGAAAAGTCAACAAATTTCCATGTGGTGCTCCAATGTAAGGGCCCTGCAAGGTTTGATTTAAATCATATGTCATTTTTGACTGATCTGGCACATGTTCAGTTTAGGGCTCGTGGAACATGTTTTCTGAGAACCACAAAAACATGGTGCGATTGTCTAGGAAGAAACGGGCAAGAATAAAGGAGGGGGTATGGATATTTCCAGAGGCCGATGATGGCTCACCCCATTTATGGACTGCCCTTGTGCATTTCAACAATGGAGATTGCATGCTTTTCTTTTTAGCGACAGGGACATATCAAATTCTATATCTAGCTAAGTAATATCGTACTACACAAGACATATACACTGTATTGCGATGGCTTGGCTGCGTCTCACTTACGCTAAGTACCCTGAACCGTTATATCTACAAAATTGCAAAGCTACTCACCGGAAGGTCAACATTTGAATCTAAGCAAGTGGCCTTGTGGCCAACGTTTCCCAACCCCATACACTGTATGACCACTGAGATAAGTTTGGCTGCTTCATTCGGCGTGTGGCAGGCCTTAGCTATCTTCGTATCTATGAAAACATACCTGTAGCCGTTGTGCACTTTCGCCGCACTGTTATGAAACAGTAGGAGCTACTTAACATAATTACCACTCTCACACAGTTTCTCAGCCAATATCATAACTAGCTAGGCTGGCCAATGTTCCAGAGATAAAGAACCAGCTGGCTGGCACAAACCCTAACTGCCCAGCTAGGCAGAACAGGAGACAGGCAAATGCTGGCATCCCACGGGTAGTCAATTTAACGAAAGCTGGGCTCTCTGTTGGCTCAGCAGCATGTGGGGCGATATAAGAGCTGGCTCAAGAATGAGACAGCTCTACCCGTAAAACAAGCCAATTTGACCATGGTAATGTGATGTAAAATGTATCTGTAATTCTTGTCTCTCATTATGACAAAAGCATACCAGAGAAGTTATAACACCTGGTAACGGATGGTCATCGTTGTAATCAAGTGGAAGTTAGTATAACATCTTGTATCTTCCGAAGTTAGTTATTTAATATAGTAACTAACCACAAGTCAATTACAATGATTATGGCTGGGCGATGGGGCTGCCACAAATGATTAGGCGTAGAAAAAAAAGTAGTGTGTTTCCGGTAACCCAACCGACCGAGAATTTCTACGTTGAAAAAAACTTTATGGTCGGCATTTTTTTTTCAAACAACCCTCTACATTTTTGTGTAGAGGGTTTACATCGGTGTAAACTCTCGCGATATTCACGTTGAGCGCATGCGTCATTTGCCCTGTCGTCTGTCAACAACATTGAACATGGCGGCGGCCGCGATCTCCGACGACTGTTTAAACCGCGTTTTCTGTGTTACAGTCGCATGCTCGCACCGTAATGTTAAGAAAATAGCATCCATTGATGTATCGAAAAAATTCAGCGAACTATTTGATGAACACCACGGGCCGAGTAAAAACCGAGGGCGGAGGAGGACGGCGGCGGCGGCGCGCCCCGGCCCCCCGAGTCCGGAGCGGGGAGAAAACTAAATAGGTGGCAGTGGCGCCGGCCACGGAGCAGCGGGTTCTATGTTCTCTTGTTTTATGTTTATTTTGTTTAAATTTTTGATGGAAAAAAAAAGATTTAAAAAAAAAAAAAAAAAACTATCCGACCTACCGACCCTGTGCTGAAATTTCATGTTACCGGAAACACACTATCTTTTTTGTTTGGCCTTACTCTGCTGGTCAACTAATCACCAGCAGTAGTCGTAATTAGGCGACGAATCAGATATAAATCGTGGAGACTTGGTGCTCGGTGGTTGCGCCTTCTCGGCAGCATGGGTATACCAGCACTGTTTTTGATTGGGAGGAATGTCTGTGCCATTTGACTGTCATTGCTGAACAGCTCTGGGGCGCTTGTGTTTTTTTGCGCCTGTAATGGGCAGCATTTTACACAGCCCCGCTTTGTTCAGCAGAGAGATCGGTGCTGTTGTACGGTCTGCGGCTGGATGGATGCAAGGCTTGAGGAGCCAACGATGAGAAGAAAGGAGTGTCAGCGCAGAGCGCCGATGCGGATGTGGAACTTGGAGTCGCGGCTTGAAGTTGAAGCGGAATACGTGGGACAGGAGATGTGAGCCAATCTCTTTTCGTCAATGGACGCTACAGCTTCGTGTTTGCTTTCAGAACTTAGCTTGTAGCAGACGTGTGCACATTTGCACATTGCACTTATATTGAACTGTGTACAGTATTTTTCTGAAACATTTGTTTTGTGCAATGAAACACTGCTTTTTTCTTTTAAACATATTTCACACTGCTTGGGCAGTAAGCATTTTTTAAATGTAGAAGGTCGTGAAATCAGCTGAGTAAAATTAGGAAAATGTACTGTGCTAAAGAGAATTAAATAAAATCTACTGGTTATTAATTGTTTTTATTTAACCTTTATCCAAAACCTTTTTATTTTACTTCAAAAGTATGCATAACTTCATCTACACAAAATGTGGTATGGACCTGAAACAGGGGTGTGGGGGGGAAGTTTATGTTTATTGTTGGTAACATTGCGGGCTTGTGGCTAATAGGTCATGGTGTGTTACTTTGAGTGCTGCTATGTTCGAGTTCATGAATGCAACGCTCGTGGTTGTGAATGCCTGTGAGGAGGAGTCTGTTCAATGTCAACCAAGGGCATTAAAAAAAAAAAAAAAAAAAAAAATCGGTGGTTTGGTTGTTTAATAAATGTGAGTCCAATCACTAATGCCCCCGTAATCCATAGTAGATGCTACAATATGTTATTGTACCAAACAAGACATTGTGTTACATTAACGGACAAGGTAACCTGTGTGCGCTAGGGTGGTCCACATTTTCATGGCAAAAAAAAAAGTTTGTCGGATTCGTCGGGCCGGGTCGGAATTCTTGTCGATACTATGGTACAAGGTTCTGTGCAAAATTTCATTCCGATCTGATGATATTTTCCCGTCCCACAAAGCGGCCAAAGTTTCCACCATAACAACTGGTCTCAATAGGGTGAACATGTGTATTTTAACCGTGTATTTTGCCATGCGTGACACTGGC